ATTGGGAAATTAGGAGAGGCAGTGAAATCAAAAGGGTCTTTAAAATGAGACAAATTTTTGTCATGTGGAAGTTCAAACACAAATTTCAATAGAAAGTAATAAAATAATATTATTATGTCTCATCATGATCTGATTCTTCATTCATATCAATGAATAATTTATGGTGGCACCGTCAAGTTCTGCCACCACATCCAGCTTGCATAATCATGAGTTGAAGAAGATGATGTGAGTGCTCCAAGGCATGTTCATGGTGGTGCCCTGATTTGTCTTTTAATTGGTTAAGCTTTAATTATGATTGTTGTTTGGGGTTTGTGGAATTTGCATTAGTTGTTTAGCTTCTCCAACCAGTTGGCACTTGGCAAAATGAAAAGGACATTTGATGACTTTATTGATTCAAATAGGCACAAAATGTTAAGAAAAAGAGTTACTATTGTATTTCTTTGTTTTACCAATTTCTTAACCTATGCTAATTTTTGTAAATAAAAAAAAAAAATCCTAGGTTCTTGTTTCATCTTTATTAATCGCTTTCATCAATCATAAACCAAGAATTTATATAGTATATAACCATTAACATAAATAAATTAGAATTGACTAATGATGGTATGTAAATAGATGTCACAAGCTTTCAACTCAACTGAATTTTCCATTGACATTCCAACCACTTTTTATTATGGTTAGGGTAGGCCATTAATGATTTTCTAAATGATCTTATCTTGAACTTTAGACCAATTTTTTTGTCACGATCACTTCTATAATGTTTACTTGATAGATTGTTTATTTTTTATTATATTACGAAAAAACCCAGCCAGCAAGAAATGGGAATTTATCATGGAAATTCAACATTTTAGATTGTGATTACATTTTATACCTTTATGAATAAAAAAATATAACTGAAAGGAAATGGTAAAAGAATTTCTATGATTTCATTATGAAAATTTTCAAATATATGGAAGTAAATGCACAGTGATAACTTACTGATGATAAAATTCAGATGGAATAGCTGGAACCATTTTTCCTGCAATATTAACGAAGAGTTAATTCAAGAAACAGGTACTTAACTATTTCTACATGAATTTTGAATTTACTGGAACTGTATTTAGAATACTAGACATATTCTTGTTAATATATGCTGTAAATTTTGCACAGCTGATGCTATGGTGTCAACTGGCCTTGCTGCTCTTGGTTACCAATATATTAACATAGGTAATTCATTTTGTATTATAAAAATTATTATTGCCATTAATAGTACAAAACTATGACACATTTGTTCACAATAAAAAAATAATGTACAACTCTTTTTCAAATGCTCAGATGATTGTTGGGGAGAACTTAATCGAGATTCGCAGGTAATTATGTTATTTAGTTTGAATAATTTCAATTAGAAAGGTGGATTAGACACTTTGGTTCATTTTCCTAATTAACAATATGCTCATGATGATTGCAAAATTTGAATTTGAACATAGGTGCCTCAAATTACTGACTAATGATGAATTTAACATTTTTGATACTTAGTATTTTGTTCAAAATCCTACCTCAATCAGAGACAAGAGTAAATTATAGTATATTATAAACTAGTTATATTGCGTTAAACTTAAATTTCAATCGATATCAAATTTATTCTAATAAAATCTATTGTTGGGGGGAGATGTGTTATTTCAATCGATATTAAATTGCTATAAAACCATTCATAAGTATTTAGTCTTATGTTAGAGATCTTACATGATTAAATGTAATATAAAAGTATAGAATTGACTTAAAATTAAAGTTTACTTATCAACATGTGTAGTCTTCATGTCACAATATATATATCCACTTTCTATGATATTTAATTTGGCTAATGTAAAATGGTGGCAGGGAAATTTGGTTCCTAAAGCCTCAACATTTCCTTCAGGAATGAAGGCTCTTGCTGATTATGTTCATAAAAAAGGTTTAAAGTTGGGGATCTATTCTGATGCAGGGTATATAACAAATTAGAATCTTAATTTTGCATCTCTGTTATTATTCAACCTTTTTTCAAACTCTCACAAATTCTTGCAGAAATCAAACATGCAGCAAAACTATGCCCGGATCACTAGGACATGAAGAACAAGATGCAAAGACATTTGCTTCCTGGGTAACATCCATTCATTTCAAATTCATTTCACATTTGCATCAACCTCTATCCTATGTAATTTTACTAAGAACTACTTACAATGTTACTTTAGGGGATTGACTACTTGAAGTATGATAATTGTGAGAATAATAACATAAGCCCCAAAGAGAGGTATTTGTGACCTTCAAATACACATAAACAATCTACATGCCTCCATAATTCAGGCATTGATACATTTTGTAACACAGGTACCCTCCAATGAGTAAAGCTTTGTCAAACACCGGAAGGCCAATTTTCTTCTCTTTGTGTGAATGGTGAGAAAATTTGTGACCATGTTTCAAAAACATTATTCTGACGAATTTGACTCTTCATTTGAGGAGTTTATACTGCTAGAAGAAAGTGTAGCTGGGTTTTCTTCAACTCTGTTATTCCTCTAAGCCAAAAAACTCACAAGTATTAATTGCTTTCTCAAACATAGGGGATCAGAAGATCCAGCAACTTGGGCCAAAAGTGTGGGAAATAGTTGGAGAACAACAGGAGACATTGAAGATAAGTGGGATAGGTAAGCATGCATGATATGATGCAAATCTATTTATCTTCAATGTCAATGTGATATGAATCTAATTTGAGGAGTTTCATTATCTAGTACTCAATTTGAAAAGGCCATGATAATTAAGTTATATCTGCATCACATTCATCACTTTCAAGGAATTCATTTTCTTTCATTTTCCACATCAAAATCTGAGTTATTTTCTCCACAGTATGATATCTCGGGCAGATCTGAATGACAACTGGGCTTCTTATGCTGGACCAGGAGGATGGAATGGTAATAATCTTCACCACACACTAGTTTTCTACATAGTAATCAATCTTAGATTGCTTTGTGATTGAAGAGACAAGTTCTTTAACCAAAATAAATAAATAACTATGACTATGTACAGGTTTTTTTACCATAATCATTGTGTTTTCTACAGACCCTGACATGCTAGAAGTTGGAAATGGAGGCATGACAACAGAAGAATATCGTGCTCATTTCAGCATATGGGCACTGGCTAAGGTATAACATGAAACAAGGAAATTATCAGATTTAGGCTTTTGCATATAATAATGTAGTTTTGCATATTGAGTGCGTTTCTTTCGTACATATAGGCTCCTTTGTTGATTGGTTGTGACATTAGAGCACTGGATGCCACCACAAAAGAACTGCTTAGCAACAAAGAAGTTATTGCAGTAAACCAAGGTATGGAAGTACCAAATTAACATTCTTATCCTTTCTTAAAAAAGAGAATGCTTTTATAGCTAATCATCCTAGGCTTTTGCAGACAAGCTTGGAGTTCAAGGAAAGAAGGTGAAAAGTAGTAATGATTTGGAGGTAGCTTCCTTTTCTTTTTGTGTGCAGTGTGTTTCTTTTCCACTAAAATTGATCATAAGGTTGACATCTTAATTTATAATGATTTTTCAAGGGATGATTAAAAAAAAACACAATACTAATAAGACATAAAGTCAATTTATGTAAAAAATTATATAACTTTTAATTTAAAATCTTAAAATAATAAATTTATAGATTTTTTTTATATATAGTACTCAATTTTTTGATTTTTTTATTCAATATGAAACTTAGATTAATATATAAATTTTTCAACAATTTTCTACTAAGTGAGTTCAGAAATTTTAGATACATATTTTTCAAAAGTTACACAAATTATTCTGTCACTAATTTGAATTTATCTTGTTTCTCAAACTACTTAGTAGAACTTCTTAAAAGAAAGCAAGTGTTGCAGGTTTGGGCTGGTCCTCTCAGTAATAACAAGTTAGCAGTGATATTATGGAATAGAAGTTCATCCAAAGCAAAAGTTACTGCATCATGGTCTGATATAGGCCTCAAACCAGGAACTGTAGTTGATGCAAGAGATTTATGGAAGGTGAGCTGCATAGTTTGATTCATTGTGTTCTTCACAATGCAAATTATCTAAAAATAGTTACAAATAGTTATGAGCTATGCATTTCATTATTTGTTTTGAATTTTGCAGCATTCAACACAATCATCTGTCTCCGGAGAAATATCTGCTGAACTAGATTCTCATGCTTGTAACATGTATGTCCTGACTCGTACATAAGTTGTTGATTTCACGAGGCAGAAAATAAGGTAAAAACAGAAATCAAGAGAAATAAATGCACTGACAATAATTGGGTCTTCCAGAGAAGGAAAAGGAAATCAACAAGATATTTCTTTATCAGTAGAAAATACAAAAAAGATACCTATTAATTGTTATCTCTCCAAGACTTCAATATTAAATTATACATTATGATTGAGGTCAAGTTATATATTATGTTGCAAGCTCACGAATGAAATAATATCTATCATTCCTTCTAAAGTATATTCCTATTTATAGTTTCAAGTTTCTAGTACTTTAATTTTAAGAGGTGTCTAAAAGATAAATATATATATATNTCAACACAATCATCTGTCTCCGGAGAAATATCTGCTGAACTAGATTCTCATGCTTGTAACATGTATGTCCTGACTCGTACATAAGTTGTTGATTTCACGAGGCAGAAAATAAGGTAAAAACAGAAATCAAGAGAAATAAATGCACTGACAATAATTGGGTCTTCCAGAGAAGGAAAAGGAAATCAACAAGATATTTCTTTATCAGTAGAAAATACAAAAAAGATACCTATTAATTGTTATCTCTCCAAGACTTCAATATTAAATTATACATTATGATTGAGGTCAAGTTATATATTATGTTGCAAGCTCACGAATGAAATAATATCTATCATTCCTTCTAAAGTATATTCCTATTTATAGTTTCAAGTTTCTAGTACTTTAATTTTAAGAGGTGTCTAAAAGATAAATATATATATATATATATATATATATATATATATTTAATTTTTTTTTCAAAACTTTTAATCGGTTCGAGATTATTAAATATATTACATGTATAATGACGGTTAAAATAGAACTATATTCAATTAAAGGGTTTTTTAATCTCTTATTTACGTATTAATTAATAAAGCTGTCCAAGATACAAACTACATTTTGATAAATTTTTCTCATCCAATCATGATTAACTTATTATTGCCATGAGTAATTGTAACTGGAAAAAACTTGTCCTCACCAACGAGGCATTTTATAAAAAAAATGTACAGTTTGTAAAAAAGATTTTGATACTACAATGTTCAAATAATAGTGTTCGTTAAAGAATAAATATAACAAAATTTTGTGCGTGTTTAAGCTCATTTGATTATTTTGTCTTTGAGTGTACAGTAACTCTAGCATAATTAGTGGGGTGCAATGAAATCTTATGAGTCTAAGCCAATATTGGAAAATCAAAATTACTTTATGCCTTTTAAAACAATCAGAGATAATTTCTAAGTGATTGGTAAATTTAAATATTAAATATGTTTTTAATATTTAAAATATATATATATATATATATATATATATATA